GATTTTCTGACTCACCAAAGACCCAAATGAGCATCAGCATTTTTTAGCAAAAAAGTTCGTATAAATTGAGACATATACGTTGTCTTTTAAGACATAATGCTGTTTTGTGCTTAATAGACTGCAGTATAGTATAAATATGACTTTTACGTGCCCTGGGAAACCAAAAGTGTCTGTGACTCGCTTTATTGTGATATTTACATTATTGCTGTGTCTGGAGCTGAACCTGTAACATCTCCATTGTGTGCCCGTGTTGTTATTATTATTATTATTATTGTTTGAGTTGGAGTCTCACTCTGTCACCCAGGCTGGAGTGCAGTGGCATGCTCACAGTCACGGCAGCCTCAACCTCCTGGGCTTAGGCGATCCTTCCGCCTCAGCCTTCCAAGTAGCTGGAACTACAGACGCACACCACCACACCCTGCTAATTTTTTGTGTTTTATTGTCGAGACGGGGTCTCACCAAGTTGCCCAGGTTGATCTCAAACCCTCGGACTCAGACAATCCTCTTGCCTCAGCCTCCCAAAGTGTTGGGATTACAGGTCCAGCTTCAGTGCCCAGCCTATTTCTGCATCTTCATTTGAGCCTATAATTATTTCAGAATTGGCACTATGATAAGGGATAAGGTGAAGAAAGACTGTAAAAGTTACTGGTTCGGTTTGGAGTCAAAAAGAAGATGGATTTGAGATGAACATCTTGAGGAAAGAATATTATCTTACACCATCTGGGGCTTCACTGAATAAAAAGCCAGGACGCCACTTTCTTTTTAGAGCTCGTGAGCCCTGGCAAATAAAATGAAGGGTGCTGGGCAGAGTTCTAGGTTTGAGTCTCAGCCCTGTCCCTCACGGCTGCGCGATAGGAGATCACCTGCCAGCTTTCACAGCCAAGAATTCCTTATCTAGAAAATGGAGGAGATCGTACCAACCTACCCACATACTGTGGAGACTAAGTAAATATAGTACATATAATATATATGTTAACCTGGCACAGAACGTTGAACAAATCTTAGCCCCTTCAAACAAGGATCAAAAACCATGACCCATGGGCCAGATCTGAACACGCCCATTCTTTTCTGTATTGTCCATAGCTTTCATGCTACAATAGCAGAACTGAGTAGTTGCAAAAGCGATCATCTGGCTTGTGAATATTTTCACAAACAGAAATCTTTACTGTGTGGCCCCTTGCCAAAAAGGTTTGCTAACTCTTACATTAAAGATGTTACCATGCAATTGTGTCCAAATGACCTTTGAAGAAGATGCAAAAGCAAAGAAGGAATGATGAGCTTTTTAATAAATGGTACTGGAGTAACTGGACATCCATAAGCCAATAATAATAATAATAAGTAACTTCACCCAAACCTCATACCTTATACAGAAATGGACCATGTACTTATATGTAAACATGTAATCAATAAAGCTATAAACCATTTAGAAAAAAATGTAAAATAAAATCTTCAGGATCTAGACCTAGACAAAGAGATTTTAGACTTGACACCAAAAGCATGACCAATAAGACAGTTAATTAATTGGACTTCATCAAAATTAAAACTTTTGTTCACAAAAGACTTGCCAAGGGGATAAAAGGACGAACTGCAGAGTGAGAGAAAATATTTGCAAACCACAAATCTACCAAAGGACTAGTACCTAGAATATATATAGAAATCTCAGAACTCAATAGAAGCTAGGAAACAAACCAGTTAGATAATGGACAAAAAAATGAACAAATATTACATCAAAAAGGAAGGACAGATGGCAATTAGCACATAAAAAGATGTCCAGCATCATTAAACCTTTAGGGAAATGCATGTTAAAACCACAATGAGCTATCACTACACACCTGTCAGAATGACTAAAATAAAAAATAATGACCACACCAAATGCTGGCGAGGATGTGGAGAAACTGAATCACTCACGCAATGCTGGTGGGAATGTAAAATGGGACAGCCATCCTGGAAAACATTTTGGCAGTTTCTGATAAAACTTAACATGATTACCAGAAGGCCCATCAACTACACTTGTAGGCAATTATCCCAGAGAAACTGATGTTCACATAAAAACCTGTAAGTAGTTGGATTTTGTGTATGGTGGTAAGTAGGGGTCCTGTTTCAATCTTCTGCATGTGGTCAGCCAGTTTTCCCGGCACCATTTACTGAATAGGTTCTCCTCTCCGCAGTGGTTGGTGAGGGAGGCTTTGTCAAAGATGAGTTGGTTGAGAAATTGAGGTTTTGCTTCTGGAATCTCTATCCTGTTCTATTGGTCTATATGCCTTGTTCTTGTTCTTGTACACACACCAGGCTGTTTTGATTATTGTAGACTTGTGATAAAGTTTAAAGTCTGGAAGTTTAATACCTTCAAATTTGTTTCTTTTGCTGATGATTGTTTTGGTTACTATTCTTGGTCTTTATATATATATGAATTTCTATATTGTCGTTTCCAGGTCTAATCATAATGATGCTGGAAATTTCCTGAGTATTGCATTGAATCTGTAGATTGCTTTGGGTAGGATGGACATCTTAACAATATTGCTTCTTCCAATCCATGAGCATGGAATATTTTTCCATTTGTTTGTGTCTTCTATGATTTCTTTGAGCAGTGCTTTGTAGTTTTGATCGTAAAGGTATTTGACTTCTCTTGTTAGGAAGATACCAAGATATTTCTGTGTGTGTGTGTGTGTGTGTGTGTGTGTGTGTGTGTGTGTGTGTATTGTAAATGGAATTGTGCTCTTTATTTGGTTCTCTGCCTTTTATTTGGTGTATAAAAATGTGACTGCCTTTTGCACATTAATTTTTTACCCTGAGATTTTGCCAAAGTCCTTTATCAGCACAAGAAGGTTTTTGACCGATTCCCTTGGGTTTTCCAGGTATAGGATCATATCATCCACAAAGAAGGATAGCTTAACTTCTTCTTTTCCTATTTGGATACCCCTGACTTATTTCTTTTGTCTGATTGCTCTAGCTAGGACTTCCAACGCTGTGTTGAACGGGAAGGATGAGAATGGGCAGCCTTGTCTTATTCTGGTTTTCAGGGGAAATGCTTCCAATTTATGTCCATTCAGCAGAATGTTGGCTGTGGCTTTATCATAGATGGCTGTTACTATTTTGAGGCATGTTCCCTCTATGCCTATATAGTCAAGAGTTTTTATCAAGAAAGGATGCTGGCTTTTTATCAAAAGCTTTTCCTGCATCTAATGTTATAATCATGTGGTTCTTGTTTTTATATCTGTTGATATATTGACTTATATTTATGGTCTTGCAACTCTAAATTAACCAAAAAACTAAGCATCAAACATCAAACCATAAGAATCTTAGAAAATGCAGGAGACATCCTTATAGACATTGGAATAGGCAACCAACTCCTGATCAAAACCCCAAAAGCCTATGCCATAAGAGATAAGATAGACAAGTGGGACCTCATCAACTGAAAAGCTTTTTTGCAAAGCAAAACAAAGCATCAAGAGAGCAAAGAACAGCCCACAGTATGGGAAAAAAACATTTGCCAACTGTATATCTGCCAAAGTCCTAATAAGGAACTCAAACGAGCCACAGGGAAAAACAAAAAACAGCCCTATTAAAAAGTGGGCAAAAGACATGAATAGACACTTCTCAAAAGAAGACATCTGCAAAGCCAACAGATGCATGAAAAAATGCTCAGCCTCACTAACCATCGGAGAAATGCAGATCAAACCCACACTGAGATACCACCTGACTCCAGTGAAGGTGGTCATCATTAATAACTCACAAAATAACAGATGCTGGGGAGGATGTGGAGAAAAAGGAATGCTTATACACTGTTGGTGAGAGTGTAAACTAGTACAACCTCTATGGAAAATAGTGTGGTGATTTCTAAAAGATCTAAAAATCGACCTTCCATACGACCCAGCAATTCCCCTTCTGGGAATATACCCAGGGGAACTCAAATCATTCTACAAAAAAGATACTTGCACACACATATTTATTGCAGCCCTATTCACAATAGTAAAACATGGAACCAACCGTGCTGCTCATTGAAAACTGACAGGATTAAAAAAAATGTGGAACATATACATGATGGAATATTACTCAGCCATAAAGAAGGACAAACGTGGACTTTGTAGCAACGGGGGTGGATTTAGAGTCTGTCATACTCAGTCATCGATTGCAGAAACCAAGAACCAAGTACCACATGTTCTCACTCATAAGAGGATCCTGATCGTCTAGCATAAAACCACACAAAAGGGGATTGACTGTACCAGGACACTGCCAGGGGGCTGGGGAGCACAGAACATCACTAGGGGTACCCGGTCCTCAACCAGGTGATGTGCAGGCCAGTAAGAGGCCCAATTGTCACCTGTGTGTAGACCACTTATGTACCTCATCCTGACCTGTACCTCACTCACATCTCTAAGATTAAAATAAAAAACAAAACCTGTAGATAAATGTTCCCAGTAGCGTTATTTGTGATAAGCCAAAACTGGAAACAGTCCAGATGTCCTACAGTGGGTGACTGGTTAAACAATTGTAGAGACTGCACCATCTGGACTTTCCTGGGTATCTTCACTTACGGGAGGGCTTTTCTTGGCTTAAGGGCATCTTCATCCCTTGAGAGGTTGGAAGGAGTTTGAAGTGGGTGACTTTACATATTCCAGTTACGTACAACTGCCCCACTGATTATTTCTACAAGGAAGCAAACCCCCTTTGCTTTTTATATTTTCTTGACTCATCTGGAAATGGAGGTGGGGAGGTGGCGTGGAGAGCCTTATACAGAGTAGGCAACTAATGTTGCCTAAATACACGAATAAAGAAGAAATTAAGCATTCTTCAGGAGCTTCATGAAAAATAATCCGTTACAGGACACTGTGATTTATAATCTTAGGTCTTTTCTTATATCAAAAAGAATGCGTGGGAAGAGGGAGAAGAAAGAGAGATCAAGAGAGGAAGGAAGGAGAGAGACAGAACAGACAGGAAGAGACAGAGATGCCATTTTTCAAATCTTTCTCTTGTTATCTTCTGTTTTTTCTCGGCAATAGATGTTTATTCAGATTTTTAAAATGTGCCTCCGTGAGCTTCTTCCTAAAAAGAAACCTGATGACGAATTATACCAGAAGATTCTTTCAAAGCAAGAAATTGTAAGTATGTCTTCAACTTATATGTCAAGATAACTTAAAAATAGTTTATTATAATAGAAGAAACTTAAAATATTGTAAAGTATTTTTACTTTCACGTATACAAATAATTTATTTCACTGTCTACTTTTTAGCACAATATGACATAAAAGTATGTATACAATTGTAAAAATATCAACGTGTATTAAAAGACAATGTGTATTATTAAAATTTAGAAAAATATTTAAGGCAGACAGAAGAGTATTGGTCCCATCAACTACTCTAAAACAATCACGCTTAATGTTATTTTATGCACAAGTTTGGGGCATTTTTGGAGATGTCATTTGTTTATTGGTCATAGCTGTTTATACCACTTTGTAGTCTACTCTTCTCAATATTTTCTAGAAAGTTCATATTGTTACACGTGCAGGAGACAGAGTCAGGGCTTGAAGTCAGACTGGTGGAGGTCGGTGTCCTGGCTCTACCTTTTACAAGCTTCCAGAATCCTCGTTTATTTGTGCAATGAGCTAATTCCTGCCCTGTGGGAGTTCAGAAAGGATAAGATAAATGTGTGTGATGCGCCTGACAGAGTAATAGTTAGGCTGTGAATACGGTATAGCCATCACCGTCGTTATCACCACAACCAGTGCCACAGTCACGGCCACCTGCGTCATCATCGCCGTCGTTTTCGTTTTGTTGCCGCCACCATCACCTCCACCACTACTGCCGTCATCCCGTCAGGGTTGTCGCCGTCGGCACCATCGTCCACGTCCTCCTTTCTGCCACGACCACCATCACCTTCATCAACTGCACCGTCGTCGTCCTCACGGCCGCCGCCGCCTTGCCCTCCTTCCCTCCTCACCGTGGCGATAACCGTCGTCGGTGTCAGCGTCATTCTTCTTGCTGCTGTCGCCACCCCCTCCTGATCATCATCACCGTTACTGGCACCCTTCTTATGATGGCCGTCGCCGCCACCGTCACCTGCACCGCGGTCACATCCTCCTCATCACCGTGGCCCTGACCGTGGCCATCACCCCCTCTTCGCTGTTCCCCTGCCTTCATCTTCACTGTCCCGTCGCCGTCGTCGCCGCCCTCCTCACCACCACCGTGACCTCCGGGGGGGGATGTTTCTCTCCTCTCCACCCCGATTCTGTGAGGAAGGATTACTCGCTGCACACTTGCATCCTCGGCACCGCGCGCGCATGGCCGTCGCCCTCAGGCCGCGCACACAGTGTTTGACAGACACGGTGTGACTGAAGCTCCACAGCAGCCCCGGGAGCGGTCATCGCTCTTTTTGTCTTACGGCCGGGGAAAACGGAGGTTCGACGCATTTAGGTGGCTTCCCAAAGGTAAAAATGATGATGATGGTGCTGACACACGATATCGTATGTCGTAATGGAAAGACTGAGAGCTGTAGAGTCCTCGGGCCTCAAATCAAATCCCACCTCTACCGCTTACAGGACTGCTTGACCTTGGGCACGCATGTTAATTATAATAGAGGCTATTGTGTATTGAGACAGTCTAGTCAAGTGCATTAAAAGCGTAATTTCATGTAATGCTTGCAGTAACCTTAAAACTTCTGGAAGAGGGCAAGAAGTTCTCAGAAGTTGGAGGAGTAAGGGCACGTTGAGCACCGTGGAGTCTTTGGACAAAATAACTTCCCGTATACTAGTTTCCTCACTTGCAAAGAGCCATGATTTATCTTATAGAGATGCTGTGAGGATTAGAAATCACATATGGCCTCGACTTGGGTCTTCAACAGTAGTTTCTATCCATTTTTTTTTCCCTAACAAACCTGGACCTACCCCAGTGCTTGTTGTTTGGCAATGAGCACAGCTCTGGAGAAAACAGAACGGCCTTCCAGATTCCATTTTGAGTTCTGAAGAACCCCATACATAGAACTCCCCTCTTGCTTCCTAAATTCAAAATCAATTTAGAGACAGAGTCGGGGAGACAGATACAGAAATGTAGTTGTACTGCTGATGGGAAGGCAGCTTGGAGGACATGACTTAGATGCATAGCCGTCATGGCTTTCTCAACTGCCCACCTACTCATTGGCCAAGCTGGACCACCTTGGGCTTCTCACCTGGAAGCAAGACCTTTGCTGACCATCTCACTCTGGGTTGAGACTGTACAAGGCCATGGCCTCCCCTCGATACATAGTCCATCCCGAAGAGAAAGAGTCCTGGCAAGCTGAGCCACCGTGCTTTACCTCCTGCTCTTGAACCCACCAATCAAATACATATCACTTCCTTGCCTGGGTGCGGTGAGTAATCCTTCCCCAGGAAAACCAGAAGAAGAAGGAAGAAGCATTCCTTCCCACCTCCCTGGATATTATGACATTTTCCAGGACTTCATAGTAATTGATAGACACTATTTCATTGATTTGTCACGCATAGTCTTTTTTTTTAGAGGGGGGGATATAGAAAAAATAATTCATTATTCTTGAGACTCTGTGTTTAATAAGAAAAATAGATTTCTCGATAATAGGTTTATCATCAAACCTTAAGTAGGACAACACTCAGAGAGAGCATTTAATTCCTGTTAAGAAATATTTCTGGTAATGTGGTAAAAAAGTAAAAACATTTAATTTTGTATAATTTAAGATACATTTCACTTTTTCTTAGTTTATTTTCTTTCTTTTATTTTCCTCCAGGATTTGGAGGAATTAGAAAAGGGACTTCAGGTCAAACTGTCCAACACGGAAATGTTGGGTGCTGGTGACTCTGAGTACATCACCCTGGCAGATGTGGAAAAGAAGGAAAGAGAATACTCTGAGCAGCTAATAGCTAATGTGCGTGATGGACTTTCTTTCCTGTATAAAAACCTTGGTTTCTGGGACAGTTAATTGGCTAGCTTAAAAAGATGATACTTAGAAGCATGTTTAATGCTTGAATTCCCGATTGTGTTCTGCCCTGGAGGCAGGATCCAGTTTCTGACGCTAAGTGATAGAGAAAGTATAATTAAGGGCAACGATTTACAAAGGGAGGCTTATTTTTTTATAAGATGAATTCACCTCATTTAAATTTTAGATGGATCTTTTTATCATTCCAAGCAAAGTTTGCTCTAACCCTTCATGTCATTCCTGCCCTATGGTGTAGAGTAGATGCTAGCTGCGAATACCTTCTCAAACCCTGGACATCACTCACAAGAGCATGTTTTAAATTCCAGAAAGATGGCTTCCCCCAAATCTCTCTTTTTTGGGGGGAGGGGGTCCCACCATCCCCTGCTCATATATTAAGTATTATACAAACATTTCCTTGGCACTGGTTCTTCACCGGGCATCATACTGGGCACTGGGGATTCAAAATGCATGTAGACGTGACCCTGCTCAAGAGATGCCCGGAGAGACCAACAGGTGGACAGATGAGGTTTTTGAGATGTTGTGATAGAAGGAAGCACAGGGGGAAGGCCAAGACAGGCATGGTGGAGGGAGAATTTTGTTTTATCCCAGGCTTGGAAGGGTTTCCACAGAAGGAGGGACCGTCAAGAGACTATGGGTGGGAAGTGTGGAGGCTGGCCAGTGGGTGGACAGAAATGGGAGCTAGTGGCTGGAGAGCAGACAGAGGAAGCATAAAGCCAGAGAGATCTGGCCAGAGCCTTCGTGTCTTATGCCAGGGAGGTGGAAGGCACTGGACATTTCAAGCTTGGTCCAGCTTCTAGAACAGAAGCTGGACCAGGCTTCAGGGTCAGGCACAGTGGCTCACACCTGTAGTCCCAGCACTTTGGGAGACCGAGGCAAGAGGATTGCTTAAGCCCAGGAGTTCTAAACCAGCCTGGGCAACACAGCGCGACCTTGTTTCTACAGGAAAAAAATAAAAATATTAGTGGACGAGGCAGAGCCTTTCTGTTGTTCCATTTACTCGAGAGGCTGAGGCAGAAGGATCACCTGAGCCCAGGGGGTCAAGGCTGGGTGAGCCGTGATCATGTCCCTGCACTTCAGCCTGGGGACAGAGTGAGACTCCGGCTCAGAAAAACAAAAAACAGAAGGCCCACCCGGGCTACTGAGCGGAGGGTAGTGAAGAGCTGTCAGGCCAGTCTGGCAGGAACTTCACTAAGGCAACTGCAGGGACAAGAGGTAAGTCAGAAAAGCGCAGAAGCTTGTGCGGTGGTCTACCATGGGGCGGTGGCTGGGGAGGAAGAGGGTGTCAGGGGCCAGTTCCACTCAAATAGGGTCCTGGGACGAGAAGCAGGAGATAGGAGGAGATGGTGAGTCTGGCTTGACATCTTGAGTGGAGAAGCCTGGGACAACGGTCTCCATGAGAGCCCAGGCGAGAGGACACGGAGGGACAGAACATTCTTAGAACAGCGGGTCAGGATGAGACGGCTGAGGGAGAGGCCCGGCCTGGATTCCAGTGCTCCCCGGATCCCTCACTGCTGTGGGCAGCATCTTGTCCATGTCTGCGTATTTCGGGGAGCGGTTTCATAGTTTCCTAAGACGCTCCGAAATATCAGTGACTTCCAGAAATGGAGAAGCCGCAGGCCTGGGAGTGTGTAACACAGGGGGAGAAAGGAGCCTGGTGCCAGATCTTGGATTTAAGGAGGAGGAGTCGAGGAGAACCAGGGCAGGAAAGCAGAGGAGGAGCTGGATGGGCCTTGAGGGAGCAGCCTTGAGGGGCCGTAAGCGTGTCTTGGATGCCAAGGGCAACAGGAGTTTGTAAGCAGAGCAGGGTCTGCGGGAGCCAGAGGTTGAGCCGGCGCTCAGAGGGCGGGTGGAACGCAGGTCATCTGGTGGGCGGAGAGGAAGAGCAGGCAGAGCATGAGGTGTGGACAGTTGGATGGGAGGGGAGAGGCGGCTGGCCAGAGGCAGGCCCAGGGTTTACCGAGCACCAACCGGGCCTCAGAGGTGGGAAGATGCCAGCCAGAAGCCATTCATACAGGTGCAGGCTTTCTCCCTGCCGAGCCAGGTTGACTCCGTGGTCAAAGCTGACGGAGTAGAAGTGGCACGCACCACGAGGTCAGCATGGGTTTCTGGCGCCACTCACTCCCCCTGCCCCCTCCCATGCCCTGCCCAGCGGCGAGTGTCCCTTTTGGTGTCTGAGAGGCAGAAGGATGGAGAAGATCCCAGCCATAAGGCAAGGGGACCCGAACGGAGTCCTGGCCCTCGAGGGCTCTGCAACCTTGGACGCGTGGCCCAGCTCTCCTGGGACTGTCCCTGCAGCCTCCCAATGCATATTTTATCACAAAGCAGCTTTCAGTGTATGGCGTACAGGGCTTGGCACGTCACCTCCTGGCCTTGAAGGAGAGTCGTTGTGAGTCCTGGGATCGCTGTTCTCAGAAAGCTCTGACTGCGGCGATGCAAATCAAAATCCTGACACTTTCAGATACTTGGCAATTCCCAGCTCTGCTCTTGATAACATGGGAGAAGGAGAAGGATTTGAAAGCAGAATGTTTTCATTGTCAGCATCATCTCTGCCATATGCTGTCTTTTACTTTTAAGGACAATAGCTGATATTTAAATGGCTGCCTGAGCTCTTATTTCCAAGATGTGTTTAATCCCTTTTAAAGATCCTGAAGCTTCCAGGAGCACACGGTCTATTTCATGTGCCCCCAGGTAGCTATCGTGACCTGTGCAAAAGCCTTTAAGCTGGATGTACTCATCCCTTTCCTTCCTTATGAGCTGCGCCTTGGCGTTTGCCGAAAAGCATCTCTAAACTGACTGGCACCCGGAAAGGAACAAGGAGGAACCTCTCAGTGGGAGGTGATTGTTACCAAGATAAACTCGAACTGGAGCTGTTCAGAATCTCTGTCTGTGATAAGGAATGAATTGTAATTCCCAGGCACGAACCATTTTGCCTTCTTAAATAAGTTTTCTCCCTCACCTCTTGCTTCTGGTTCTCATTTCACAGTTGGAAGCTTTCTGGAAACAGATGGAAAACACCCAGCACTTTCTTGTGGACCAGCTTAAGTGTTCCAGCTCCAAAGCCCGACAGCTCATGATGACTCTGACGGAAAGAATGGTTGCAGTCGAGGGGCTGCTGCAGGATTCTCAGGACCTGCAGGCTCTGGTAAGGCTGACGGGGGCGGGGCAGGAACATGAACGGATTCAAAATAGAGACGTGAGATCCCGAGGCTTGACGCACCTTAGACATCATCAAGTCTAACACCTGCATTTAAAGGTGGGGACATAGAGCCCCAGAAAAAAGCAGCAAATTCATCCATCCATCTGTCTACCCACCCATCCATCCATTTGCCGTCCATCTAGCTCTCCATCTACCCACCCACCCATCCCTCAGTCCACCCATCTACCTGCCCCATCCATCCACACGCCCATCCATTCGTTCTCCATCTACCCACCTACTCATCCACCATTCATCCACCCATCTATCCACCCCTCCCTCCACCTGCTGTCCACCTATCTATCCATTCACCCACCCACCCATCTACCTACCCACCCATCCACCATCCATCCGTCTATCCCCCCCATCTATCCCTGTGCCATCCACCTAGCTGTCCACCGCCCCCCCCACCCGCTCATCCCTCAGTCCACCCATCCACCTGTCCATCCATTCACTCATCCACCCATCATCCATCTACTTTTTATCCACACAGTAAGTCATGGTTCTGGACAGCTTAGTGTTACTGCAGTGTAGAACACTGGTTCTCAAACCTGAAATGGCGCGCTGAAGTTATCCGAGGGTTGGGCCCCAAATGGGTCCCCACTTAGAGTTCCGACTTAACCAGGCTGGGGTGCCCCTGGGCATTGGAGTCTTTAGAGCTCCCAGCTGACGGTGGTGTGTGGCCAAGGTTGAAGCCCACTGGTGTGGATGGAGCATTGGTTGGCGCTCCTACCTGTCCCATGTGTCACCTGGGGAGTTTGTTTAAAATGCCTATTCCTGGGTCTTGCCCCCACAGGTTCTAATCTGACTGGTCTAGAGAGAAAGCCCTTGGAATTGTGGGTTTTAAAACTCCCCGGACAATTCTGATGGGAAGCCAGGGATACAAACCTGGCATAGAGGAATCCACAAATCCAGCTTTGACTCTGGGCTCTGCTGCTTGGCGCTGTATGATCTTGAACTTGTTTCTTAGCCTCTCTGAGCTTTTGTTACTCTATTTATAAAACAGTGGTCCTAAGAGCTGCCACAGACAGGGTGCAGGTAGATGGTGAGTGACTCATAACACGCTAGCCACCATTGGGTTTCTCTGTGTAGACTTTGGGCTCGTCCTGTGTGTACAAGGCCAGTGTGTACAAGGCCCAAAGAGCATGCCCTCTGACGGTGCTCTGTACCCAGTTCCCCATCCTGTGCGCCAACCCAAGTGACAACCGACTCAAAACCCTCCAGGGGGGCTGCCCTGCCCTCAGCACAGGGACTCAGGGACTCAGGTCTGTGGTGAAGCCAAGTCCCAGAAGGTCTCTGCCACTCCTCCACGGTCAAACCACTCCGCCCCTTCCCAAACCACACCTTGAAGTGTGGTCTGCAGGCCACAGCATCAGCAGCATGCGGCTATGAATAATCTGATCAGGTGTGGTGGTGCAAATCTGTAATCCCAGCATTTTGGGAGACTGAGGTGGGAGAATCGCTGGAGCCCAAGAGTTCAAAAGCAGCCTTGGCAATGTTAGGAGACCTCATCGCTACAACAAATTAAAACCTAGCCGGGTGTGGTGGCTTATGCCTATAGTTCCTGCTACTCAAGAGGTAGAGGCAGGAGCATCACTTGAGCCCAGGAGTTCAAGGCTGCAGTGAGCTATGATGGCGCCGTTGCTCTCCAGCCTGTGTGACGGAAGGAGGGAGGGAAGGAATCTTACCGCCCTTCCCTCCAGTTAGTTCTGCATTTTAACAAGCCCCCAGGTGCACACAGTTGTTTGGGACTTTATAATGTTTTCCCATCATGGGCATATGGGGCCTACTTTCTTCCTCAGCACTACTAAAAGAGAGGCGTGGCAGATATTTTATTCACAGTGCAGAGAGACTGCTAAGTGACTCAGCCAAGAGCACCGTCATGCCCAATGGCATTGCTGAGCCTGGGCCCCACGCTTCTTGGTTGTCTGCCCAACCTTCTCTGAACTGGATTTTAATTTGATGAGGCTGTTGACTCGTGTTAATACTCTTCAGAGGCGAACGACTTTTCTTCTTCTTCTTTTTTCTTTTGCTATCAGCAGGATATTGCTGCAGAGAGGAAAAAAAAAATCCCTTAGCTGACTCTGGCCAGAGTATCAGCCGGTAACTTCCAAAGAGGAAGAAGGGAAGGGATGATCCAGTTTAACTGCTTGAGTGTCCTTCAGCCAACATTTAATGCGCACCTGCTGTGTGTCACATTCTGTTCCTGGAATTGGCATTGCAGAGGTTAAGCGTACAGACATGAGGAAGAACTGGGCACTCCTACCGGTCTTGTGGGAGGCGCTCACTGTGTGTGAGTCGCTGGGATCCTGCAGGCTGCATGTCAGCGGGGGAAACAGACATACGTCATTGTAATGATGTATGCCAAGGGCTACTGTCTAAGTGTGTACGGAAGAGGGATGGATTCACTCCGCCTGCACCCCGTGTCCCAAAGAGGACGTCTCTCAGCACATAACTCAGAACGCAGAGGCGCTTACGTTCTCGGGACAGCGTCTGATCTCTCTGGCTGGGGCAGCTAGACCTTGAATATGCCACGTGGCATCCCTAAACTTGATCAAAACTGGAAAAACCCTTTGAAGGGACCCTAGAGGTCATCAGATTCAGTCTCTCGGGACCTAAGAGAGAAAAAAATGAAACCGGCTTCCAGGAGATGTGGAGACCCGCCTTAGATAATGATGAAACAGCCGATGTTCAGGGAGGGCTCACTGTTCCCTGCCAGGACGCTGTTTACTCCCCACATGAAGCCAGGGTCAGGCCAGAAGCCTGTGCCCAGGTCGTGCGGCTCTGAGGCTGCAGCCAAGTCTGGGCCGGGCGCTGCCAGGGACTCTGCTACACCCGGAACCGGCAGGGCCCGCCCCTCCCCCCCCCG